ACAGTTAAGAAAGATGATAGGAAGAAAATCAATGCATTTGAGATACTGTTCTGGAGAAGAGTGCTGAGGATCCCATGAACAACCAAAAAGACAAGCAAATGGGTCCTAGAGTAGATTAACCCAGAAATCTCCCTGGAAGCTAAGATAACCAGACTGAGGTTGTCATACTTTGGACACATCATGAGAAGGATCATTGGAAAAAACAATAATGCTAAGAAAGGTGGAGGGAAGTAGGAAGAGGGGAAGGCCACATGCTAGATGGATGGACTCTATTAAGGAGGTCACTGTATGAGTTTGCAGGAATTAAGCAGAGCAGAGGAGACATAGGGTCACCCATCCTTAGGGTCACCATAAATCAAGATCGACTTGAGGGCAATGAACAACAACAACAACAAACAAAACAAGACATCCAGTACTGTAGATAGATATTAGAAGCTTCTACTTAGTGGTTTGTGTTGTCACCACCGCATTCACTAATCACTAAAACAAGGCAAGCCAAAGATATTTTGCTGCCCAAAGCAGAGCAGGAAATGCCAACTTCCCACCCTCCCAATTGATGATGCATTATTATCCCGAAAGCTGTCACATTCTATGGGTACATAATGGGGCAGATAATTCCACCAGCGCCTCTTCCCATCCCTGTCAGTAAAAGAACCAATTACATAACCAGAAAATGGTGACCCTTTCTTGACACCTAAAACCTGCTTCCTGAGGTAGGCTCTTCACTCTACCTAATGGCAGGCCAACCCTCTCTGTTAAAAATCATATCTGTATTTCCCTCTCCTATCTTTGCACAAGGGAATTTTGTGATTTTTTTTTTTTGGAGGACACACAACCAAGGTCATGGTGCCATAATCCCATGTGCATGTGCAGGTAGGGATAGAGTTCACTGAGGTCCCTCACCCTAGCATCACTCTCCTCCTCCCTGCCCTCCCATGATTGACAGGTCCTCTTTCCTCCTTCACCCCCCCCACCACTCCTTCTCCAGCCACAAGATCCGTCTTGAAGGAGTTGGTGTCCATGTCTGTCCCCTGCTGGGGCACCGGCTTTTACCCTATAAGGGGAGCAGCTGGGAGCTCCTTGAGCTCAAAATAGATGCAGCTGCCGCCTCTGGATTAGAGAGAGCTCAAGAGAAGACTTTCAGAGGGAAAGGGAAACTAAGATGGAAAAGGGGGGTTAGGGGGGTGAGACAGATTATGGCGAACAGATAGATATGCTAATATCAGTGGGCTAACTGGACTGGATTCAAACAGAGAAATACAAATGTCAATGGATAGGCAGATCTCATCTGCACATACCCACCTTATAATTACCAAATAAAATGTATACTCTTGTACTTAGAACACCATCAGTGCTCTCAAGGAGGCAGCCTTGAATATTAAAACTGCATATATATTTTTTAATCCCAGAGAGTAGCTATGTATTGCAGCAAGAACAACATGACTCCTTTGTTGTTGTTGTGTGCTTTCAAGTCATTCCCAACTTATGGTGATCCTAAGGTGAATCTATCATGGAGTTTTCTTGGAAAGATTTGTTCACAGGAGATTTGCCGTTGCCTTCCCCTAAGGCTGAGAGCATGTGATTTGCTCAAGGTCACCCAGTGGGTTTCATGGCCAGGCTGGGAATCAAACCCTGGTCTCTAGAATTGCAGTCCAACACTCAAACCACTACACCACACTGGTTCTCATAACAAAAGTCCTATGCCACCTTAAAGCAGAAGTTCTTAACCTGTGGTCCATGGGGCTCTAGAGCATCCATGGATGAGCTTCATTAAGTCCATGAACTAGGAATAACATTATATGTTAAGATTATATTTCCTTCCATCTCCTTCCTGTTACTTTGAGAATTATGTTTAAATGCACCTTTTTGAAGAGGGCCTATAGCTTTCATCAGATTCTCAGATGTGTCTGTCACCCCTCCCAAAATATTAAAACCAGCCAACAGGATTCAAGCAGAACTCAGTGCAATTCCAGTATCACATCATGCAAACACAGAATGTAGTAGTTAATTGTAATATTCCTCCTATCTCTGATTTTCATGTGGATTTATGGATGTTTTATGTAATCTTTTGATGCTTCGATCTTTTTTATATTCATCACTTTTTAAGGATCCTTGTCATCAAGTCTGTGCATTTGAATAGCATAATAGAAAGACACTTATAGTACAGATATAGTACAGATTTTTCTCATTATAGAAGGCATAGAATTTCAGCTACTTTGGTATATGAGGTCTGCATTTTTTAACAAAGAAAGTGATTAATTTCAGGCCATTTTAGGCCAATATAGTGTAGTTATAGGCATCTATTCACAGAACCCAAGATATGTCATTTGCAATCCTAAGTAAGCTCAGCAGAGTTCAGTGAAACTTACTATCAGTGCAAAAAGTTGCAAGCTTAGAACAGAAACAGGTAGACTTTAGGGATGTTGTTTGTTTCTTCCTAGAAACCTGATTTCTACCAATTGTAGCCAGATGCATAACAAAGGCTGCAGAGAGCAGTATCTACATATTTAAAGTAAAAGAATGGGATGGCTGTGAGCACATGCTCAGTTTGAGAATTTATTTGTAGTAGTACCACAATTTAACTTGTCCATTAAACAATACAGAGATTCTTGCTCACTCTCTGCAAACCCCCCAGATCTCAGCCAAGCTTCTAGCTGCCTTTGCTTTAGTGCATAATTTCACTGCTGCTCATTCTCAGACCCAAGATGGAATAAGTACCTATTCCTCTTGGTTTTAGAAGATTTGTTTGTTTGTTTTTAATTATAAGCACAAAAAGGAGATGATATGTGCTCAATCATTAAGGAGTTTATCCCATGGGGGAAATCCCGTGCGGAAACGGGGCTTTAAATTAGGAAAAAAACCCGCAAAAGTGGTTAGTTTTTCAGACGACATCGCTGTTAAAATGGGGTTAACCTGAATGGAAAGTAGTCAGAAACTGCTTCTTTTTACTTTTGGAAAGTTATCATGCAGCAGATTTTGTTGATGAGACAAGCAATTTAGTCCTTAGGCAATAAATTTAGCTCTCAGCTAGTCTTTGAGAGCCAGCATGGTGTAGTAGTTTAAATATTGAACTAGAGCATTCAAACCACTGCTACACCATGGAAACCCCAGTGGGCAAGTCACAGTTTCTCAGCCTCAGAAGACAACAAGGACAAACCCTTCTGAATAAATTCTGCCAGAGATCACAAAGATTCCACCATAGAGATCTTTGGTTGGTTGTTAGATGTAGAAAGATCTTAATCTAAAATCCTACATTTCAGCCTCTTTATGCATTGCTGCAAGGCATATTGCATAATGGATGTCATTGTATTGTACTGGGTACGTGCTCTACTTTAAGATCTGGTCTGATGTCTGGTAATGTATTAGTTAGAGTAGACTGTTATTTTCTGGCCTGCCTGAATATAATTCTGTATGGTTCTCTAGTCAGTTACTGGTTCTTTATTTTCCCTTGCTTTTATGGTAAATAATTTTTATAAACTTTATTTTTTTTCTTCAAACATATATCTTTCTAGTAATGTACATTAGAATTTGCTTAACTACATAAAACACTACCCGTAAAACTCTACTTCCTCAATGTCTCTTGTGGGGTCACCCTTTCTTTCCAACCATATCTATTTGAATTTATTGTTCTTTTGTTCTTTTATATAGCTACAGTAGTCACAAAGCTTTATATTCATGTGACACACAGTTCATCTTATTTCCCTGTCATCCTATTACTCTACCTATAGTTTAATTTCATCTGTTCTTACAACATTTGTTTACTGGAAGCCATTCTTTCTCAATTACGTTCATAGATATGATATGGTAAATACATTTTTAATCTTATTTTGGTTTGGCTGTCTTTTCCAGTATAATGTTGAGCTGAATCCAGGGTGTCTACTAAGTGGTCATTGCTACTGGTCTGGTTTAAGGTTAAGGGTCCATTTCAGAGAGGCAGCACTTGGCCTTTCATTCTGGAAATCTTATTTGGGTCTGACAAGGTCTGGAAGCCCCTCAGTCCAGAAAATTTAGTAAAAGGTTGTTGGCACAACTGAATAATTAGAGAGGAGGGACTGGCAGAATCCCAGTAGGGGGAAGGCTGGCAAATCCAGCTTCAACATGATGCCATTGTCCATGACAGAAGTATGCTGGTAAAGAAAGGGTCAAGTTAGAGGGACTGCTGCCAGGTTTTAGAAATGGTTTTTAAAAAGGAAAGATGAGCAACATTTGCTGACTGATCAAGTGTAGAAAGAGAGATTTAACTCTGTGTCACTTCTGCTGGCTGCTATATCTTTCTGAGTTGCATTTTGGAGAGGGATAGCTAGTGTTAGTTGAAGAGCATGGTTTTAAGGTGTAGCTGCTCATCCTAAGAATATATTCTTGCCTGCCTGTCTAGGTCAGTCCTATCATCCAGCCAACTCTGTCACATCTCTGATATCTGAAGCTTCAAGGGTGTCTCTATATTACAGCCCTTAAGCTCATTTATGGCAGGAGGGGCCACAGTGGTAGAGCACATGTTTTGCATACAGAAGCTCCTAAGTTCCAACCCTTGGCATCTGCAGTTAAAAGGATCAGGTAGCAGGGAATGGAAAACACCTCCCAGCAGAGAAGCCCCACTGTCAGCCAGAGTGGACAGTCTTTGGCTAGATGGAGACATCGTCATATCTGGCATAAGACAGCTTCAGATCTTTGTACCTGTCTTTCCCTTTCACCTGGGAATGTTAGCTCTTCTCTAATGGAATTCAATGTATTAGAAGTCATCTTCCATTTGCGAAAGTCTTTGGAGAAAGGCATGATGATGCAATTGTACTAAAGCCAACACAAATATTTGTAGTTCAGCATAGATGCCAAAAAGCAGCAAACCAAGGAGCTCACTTCAATCTAAATTCTGGGTTGGGCATAAATTTATCATACTGAGAACCTTAATTATTTGTATTCTTCAAAATCAAGTTTCTAGCTCCTGTGGCTATGAAGCCATAAAGGATATAGTCAATGCCTGATGAAACAGTTTTTCCTATAACTGTGAGTGAAGCCTTCAGTGCCAAGGGTATCTCCTTGCCTCTCCTTATAAACAGAAGTAACAACAACAAAACAGTTAAGAAAGGTAATGTATAATGTATGAGCATTCAGACTTTGAAGTATATACACAAAACTTGCATTTCCTTGCTGTATGATTTCAATTAATTTCAATTTCAATTTAATTCAATATAATTTCAATTGCTTTAATATAATTTAGCAGTCCTGCTTCACTGTGGTTTCCTAGAACCTGGAAAGTCAAAAGAAAGCCATGCTTGAAGTGGACTGATAAATGTATAGACCAGTCATATCAGGACGAAATCCCAATAGAGAGAAAACTATTTGTTTTTAATTTGCATCCTGATCAGCATTCAGCTCTTCAGAAGTCAAAAATACTGTCCTCTGTCCTTTTGAAAACTATATAAAACTCTCTTTTCACCTAGGGTAAGACCCTGATTCATCTTGCCCTACTCTTAGTGGTGTGAAGGATGGTTATTTAGATATACGAGTATGTACTCTTTGGCAGGGATGGTCCCAATTAATCCTCTGCTGTCCTATTTTCAGCTAGTTTTTAAATATCCCGGTTTCTCTCTCTTCCTCTCACTTTGCCCTTGGGTCTTCATTTTACTTCAGTTGCTGCAAACTGAGTTCAAAGTGCAAAAGTAGTTTGTATTCAATTAATTCAGCAGGGAGGAGAAGATAGGAGGGGATAGTCCCAGTAGACTCAGGCAAATGAAACTTGCTACATCATCTCCTAGCTTGTTTCTTCTTCCTCGCTGATAGTTTTTGCCATTTTGACCACTCACTGATGTTCCTTGGCCAAATACGTCCTAGTTTTCATCTGTGAAATGTATATACATGTGTGTGTGTGTGTGTGTGTGCGCGCACACACACAATTGCCTATTTATATCACTTGTGCTATTAGCAAATAATTCTCTAAGTGTAGAACTTTATTTAGCCCATAATAGTGCTGTCCATTCACAAAAGGGACATTATGGCAGGCTTAAGGGAATCCTAAGGTTAGCAGATCTATTTTAAAATACCTAAGGGGGTCAATGGGCTTATTGGGCCATGGCTTATTGCACTATGGCTGAAGGGACATAGGGTTTGACGACAACAACAACAACAACAACAATAGTTTTTTGTGGGTTTTTCAGGCTGTATGGCCATGTTCTAGAAGAGTTGGCGACACAGCCCGAAAAACCCACAAAAAACTATGGATGCCGGCCATGAAAGCCTACAACAACAATATTTATTTATATCCCGCCGCTCTGTAAAATACAACCAAGATGGCTTACATGATAAAACAAACAATCCCGTCCCCCAATAGCTCACCTCCCCTAAAATACAATTAAACAATCAAAATTTAAAAACCAACTCGGTAGAGGCACTTTACAAGTTCACTAGCCCTGAATTTAACTTTAGTCTCCAGATCAGAACTGACCTAGGCCCCGAGGTTTTGTGACAAAACATGAGGCCTGGAGATAGCCCCAGCTTATGTTTTTTGAGTGTTGTGCATTATGTACCAACTAGAGTTTCTCATAACTTGTCATTCAAACAGAGGGAGAGACAGATAAAGAAAAAGAGAGAAAAGGTATTTTTCTGTTTGGAAATTAAAGCAGAGATCTTTACTAAAACGGTTGTCTTTCAAATCAAGAAACTAACTAAATACATAGACTTGAGAGAG